TTTTAAATCTCTGGTTCAGGGTCTGTCAAAGCAGTTCAGAAGTGTGAAGGGCAGGGGGTTGTGAAAAAGCTGTATATCTGAACACCAATGTCACCTTCAGGGGGCTGAGATATTCATGCTTAGAAAGGCATATGGGAAAGGAGGCTTTTATTTCCCACCTCATACATACACCAGGGCATGCACTCACCAGCTTAGGGTGGTGAGCTGAATCTTTGTGTTAAGTTACTTCTCTTGTTCTTTTTTTCCTTTTAATTGTTATTGCTGTTGTCAGAATTTATTATTGTTATTTCCTCAAGTGTGCATAGTTGAACACAAGTTATGTAAAACATAGGTATGCTGTTGCCACTGTAAATCTTTAGCCACTGGTTTAAACTAAGTGTACAGAAGGAGATCTGTCTGAATTACGCTAAGTGCAGCATGTGGTTACTCTATGAATATTCTTTAATTCATACATTCATAGATAATGTAATTCATACATTAATTAAGCACTAATTTATGCCATATACCTGCACTAAATGCTGGGGAAAAGAAGAGTTAGCTACTGAGGCCTCAAAATACAGCAGAGGAGAAAAATACAAACAAAATTATTTAATTACTATGTAAGTTGGATATACAAGGTAAGATGGGCCCAAATGTGGAAGGGCAGGCTTAGCGGAGATGACCCAATGTCCCCAGAAACACACACAACTCCCTCCCTCACTTTCAGTCCCTGATTCAAGTATCTTCCTCCTGGCAAGCCTTTCCCTACATCCCCATTTAAAACTGTAAAACCCCTCTTTGGTCACAGTCTTCTGACACCTCTTCCCTGCTGCTTCTCTCCAGCACTTATCCCCTTCTGATCACATCTCTTGTTTTTTGTGTTTCTCCTTCCATGAGGTGGTCAGCTCTATGAGGGCAGGGATTCCTGTCTGTTTTCTGAATCCTAACCTCAGATCAGTACCCAGAACATAGCAGGATTTGGTAAATATGTGCCTTTCCTAATTACATTAAAGAACAACTGCCAGAGCTCTCTAATCCCTTTATTCTCCTTTCTTTTCCTCCATAGCATTGATCATGAACTGATGTTATCTTTTCTTTTGATGTTTATTTACTTATTTATTTTCCTCTCCTCACTAGAATGGAAGCCTCAGGCCTCAGGATAAGAGGGAGTCTACATGCTTTTTCACTGGGTGTCCCAGCACTTAAAAGAGGGCTTGGTACATAGCAGATACTCAATAAATTGCAGTTGAATGAATCATCATCCTTATCACAGCTCACATTCACTGAGCACTCAGTACATGTAAGACAGCTTTACCTGTATTCTCTGTATCTTCACAGTAACTCTATGAGATAGACACCAGCATTATTCTCATTTTAGAGATGAGAAAACACGGTCAGTGAGTAACTTGCTCAAGGTTACAAACCTGGCAAAGGGTGGAGCCAACAGTTAATTAAAGGCCACCTGACTTGAGCTTTACTTTTAATCACTGTTCTACTGATGTGACTTCACTGGAGAACAGGCCACCACAGCTTGTCAACTATCACGTGGTTTAATTATCTGCCCCTCTAAACCATTCTCCTGCCACCTCCAGGTCATTTGCCACACTAAAGACAGTGTGACATTTTCAAATAGCAGATCTGATCATGTCACCCTGCTTTACACCTCTTCAATGGCTTTCCATTGGTAGAGTACATGTTTTGGTGTCCTACCAGCAAAGGTCATCAATATATATAACAACCTCTCTGGAATGATGACAATGTCACCTCTGGAAAGATGACAGGCTATAAGACAATGATGGACTAAGAAGAAATGCTCTACTTTTGAGATAAGAAATAAAGAGAAAAGGCTTACTTATGATATGACCCTTATCAGTAACTCTAGAAATATTTATGCAGTATCTGATTAGAATATTGCATATGTTAAAATTGATACTCCTGGGCCCCACCCAAATCTACTAATTTAGAATCTCTAGGGATAGTGTCTGAGAATCTAACAAGTACCCTAAGGTACCTCTTTGACAGTCACTGACCTAACACTCTTCAACTCTAGGACACCGGGCCAGCATCTGCATGCTGGGTAACACTATATAAACCACTAGCATCAAGACTAAGACCCAACTAGCTCCAATAACCAACAAGGCTCTTTTGTTCAACTACAATGTTGTAGAACTCATGGATTCAAACTTCCCTAACCCAGGGCACAGGTTTCAATCATGTCCAATGCTCGAGCAGGTCATTTCACATCACACAAAGCCAGAGTTCATACCTTCAGAAAAATCAACTCCCTTATGTAAGCCAGGTCGATAGAGTTTTACTGTAAGATATGTTCACTCCAAAGATTATTCCACTTTTTAAAATATGTCATCCTGCTATAGCTAGGATATTGGGAGAGAAAAATTTAAAAAATATACAAATCATGCCTTGTACCTAGCACATTGGTTGACTTCTCAGCTAGTTCTGTGTGGGATTCAAAGCAAAGCATTTCTATTCAGGCCTTGTACATGCTAAAAGATTCCTAAAAAGGTTAGAGATGAGCTTTGTTAGTGGGAAGATTATCCCAGATTCCTATCATCCCAGATTCCCTGATATTATGAGAATAGGTCCCTAACTGAACTCGTCTCTGGACATGGGGTTCCCTTTGATCCAATTATCAGCTCCTGGCTCCTATAGCTATGAGAAGACAAGTCTCACCAGGACAGTGTTCTCTGCATGCAGCCCCTCCAGCTGGGAGGGGTCTTCATGGCATAGAGTAGAAAGAGTATGGAACAGTAATATTAAATCCTATGATTAAGACTTCAACTAATTACTCATTTTCTTTAAACACAAGTTTTCAAACTATTTAACCTGTGCAAATAACCCATAAAAATGTTTTCCTCTGCAAAATGTAAAAGACACAAAAAAACCACAAAAACTCTTAATATGAAAGTCAAATCATTCTAAAAACTATTTTGAAAGATATGAGATTTAATTGTGGTGCTACAGCAAGTTTTCAATCTGTGTCATGTTATATAACTTAAGAGATTTTCTTCTTTAAGTCTCAGAAAAGTATTTCAGAACTCATTTTTAGCTTTATTTTCAAGTGTTTCTACATAAAAGAAAATGTTTTCCTCTACACAACACAGAAATTAAAAGTGCTTGAGAAACAATGACTGTGTATTACAATATCCAATGAAGCCTGCAGGAGGAAACAAAACATTTTTAGATGAAAACAACCAGAGAGGTAAATTTTTCAAGATATTTCATTGGTATAAAAAGAAGTTTTTACTCTCCACATTGAATTATCAGACCCATGATATAAATTACTCTTCGCAGAGTCTATGTAATCCAGGTAACACATTGGATGTATCAGTATGTGAGATGAACAAAGAAATCACTGGCCAGACGTACCATAACTCATTAAGGAGAAAGAAAGTGAAATTATTCAGGGTGATTTCACACCCAGCACTTGCTAAAGTGAAACACAAAAACAATATGGAGAAGAGGACAAATTTTGAAGGAGCACAAATTTCTAACTTTTGAGAGATCACTGTAGCTTTCCAAGTATAACGTTAAAGTGTAAAACACTAGGTTACTTATAATTTTCTAACTTCCTCACAAGTTCGTAATGCTTTCAACACTATACCATGCCAAAGAATAGACTGCTTTCCCCACCCCCCACCCAGATTACAAAACTGCACTGCGGATCCTCTCAGCCATGAAGTATGCCGCGACCCTCAAGCTCTCTTAAACATACTGACAGAAACTGCCAATATGCAGTGCGAGGACAGAAAGAGCAAAGTGGAATTTAAAAAGGCCACCTTGGTCAAACAAGAATAGCTGCAGATGTTTACGATACCAAAACCAGCACTCCATTTAGATTCTAACATTTTAAGCAAGTGTAAAAAACAAAGAAAAAAGGTATTTATGCTAGCATAAAAATGTTTTTTAAATACAGTGTTTATTTGTCAAATACCAACTGCTTTTTCTTTCATTCCTTTCTGTTTCTGATCTTTGGAAAAACCACATCAGTATCAAATGTCACTTAGCTCTTATTCAAACAGAGGAAAGCAGACACAGCGGCTGCACCCGTGACTTGGCTGACCTGGGCCCTCAGTAAAAACAAACCGCTATAAATCACCAGATGTAAGCAATTGGGTAGTGATCACTCTATTAATTGAACAGCTTTCCTGAAATTTACTGTATAATTTCAACCCTCCCAACACCTCTCTCAGAAGCAACTAACAATGGTGGTTTTTTTCCTTAAGTTGCTTAAAGAAAAACATTTTTTAACATCAGTAGCTTAAATATATTTTTAAATTATTTAAGATTAAGGTGGTAAGCTTATTAGATTTTAGAAATTAAACCACAGGCATTCTAAATGCTACCTTTAAATGCTGAAAGTCAAAATTATTCCAAAACCTACGTCGGTGCATGTATATACACGTTACCTACACTAAAAACACAGAAAACTTGGTACAACCTTAATTGTATTTGAAAATTCATATTTGCAAAATAACCTGCAAAGTTATTTCTGTCTTCAGTCACATATTTACTTTTTTTGAGTTGATGTCTCTGATTTCCACTGCAGGTACCACTCTTAAAAGAGGATACTCCAATGGCTTCTTCTCAACTCCAGTTTCTCCTCACAAAACAACTCTGATCATTCTCCACTAGGAACTAAGTAATACATAATCCACAGATCCCCATGTCAACCATTGAGCAATATCAGAATTAAAGTCCTAGTCTACAGAATATGATCAAATACACATTTCTATGGTGTAAAGCTGGCCTCTTTGAATCTTGAAGACCAGTTCGGCAATGACAGCAAAGTGTAAAGTGTGTTGTTATAAGAATACATGAAATTTAGGGGTGACAGAGTTAGAGGCTAGAAGACAAGTTAACCAATTTAAAGAGCATATCTTTATTATGCCCTGAAGAAAATATTCAATTTTTTCTTCTAAGATCTCTATGCTAGTCCCTATGCAACTACTACTCAAGGTTCCTGCAAACATACACGAGAAATTCTGCTGATATTCACTTACAAGGAGAGAAGTGTAATATTTGCCGAGACTGGTCCCAGATTTGGAATGGTCTCCAATTCGTTGTTGTTCAGTTTCCTACAAATGCCAAAAAAAGAAAAAGAAAAGCTGATTAGGTAATCTTTCATTTACAGAGGTGAAAACTTTACATATTATTTCAAGATACCTCCCAAGTTAAAAGATTTGAATAACTCACTATAATCCAAGTATTCCTTACAGTTAAATAGCATAAGGGGTAATGTATTTTACTCAAATCTTAAAAGCAAAATAATGAAGACTCACACTTCTCGAAGGCTTTGAAGGTGGCTGATGGAACTTGCCTTGATGAAAGATAATCTGTTGTGACTTAAGTCCCTGTAAGAAAACAAAATTAAAACTGTAAGTCATTTCTAAACATCACTGATACTGCTAAGTGGGCTCATGAAGTATCTCTATGAACACTAGTGGGAGCAGGAGAAATAACTGGTCTATTATGTCCACAAACTAGATGGCAACCAAAATGCCAAACTCAAAAATACAAGCTCCAAGGACAAAATTAGTTTAAGGAGACTGGCAGATTCAAATACTTTAAGCCCACAAACGTTTTAAGAGATGTTTTTTGGCACACGGTGAACAGATCTTTTGTGAACTGGCAGGTCTGCTTCACCCTCCCATCTCCCCACTCCCAACCTGATATGATGACATCATGGTTTATGAAAAGGAGCTAATTAGGCAGGTTGCTGAAACTAAAGCCTCTATAGAATTCTTTTCATTGTTATACATTTAAGCATCGATGTCCTTATTGCAGTCAAGGAAAACAGAAATTGCTTTGCGTACATATTTGTTTCTCTGCGTTAAAGCACTAAATTTAAAGTATTATTTTGTGTGTGAGTGTTGAGAGGGTAGAAAACAATCTAAACCCTCTGCTTTCTTAAATTCCCCAAATTTCAATATCTGGTAATATATAATTTAAACCACATCACCATCTAACAAAGTTCAGCAGATTGCACAAAAACTTGTGAACAGATTTCAGTCATTAAAATAAATGTGCTTCTTACTCAATAACTCAATTTAACTCAGTAACAATTTCCATAGAGCATCATTACTATTAAAAACAATAACAAAATCATACATATACAATACTCTAGGCTAGAAAGTCATCTCATTTAAGATTCAAAATATGGAATAAATTCCAGCAAATATTCTTGGTTATATTCCCCATATGTGTTAATACAGTCACTATGTGCCTTCAAAACAGTGTGATAAAAATGAAATGGTTCAAGAGTGATGAAAAACCAGGCTAACAAATAGCATGGCTTGAAGCTTCCCACTGAAAGAGGTTATCCAACCCATACTAATCTTTTCAGTGTTTAAAAGAGAGATTTTTAAATAACCAAAGTTGACTGGAGAAAAGCATGAATTATGTGTTACATGCGTAAGTATACCCCTTCTAAAAAGTAACTAAAGAGAAACCACCTCCAGAGAAGCACAGTGTTACTCAGTGTTTAGTTAACAATTAGAAATCAGAGATCCTTTCAGTCTTTGAGTTTTTGTTTTGAGAATAAACCTGGATTCTCTTTTTCACCTAAAAAAAAAAAACTGCAAGGTTTTATTTGAAATATGCTTGCCCAAAGACCTACCAGACAGTGACAGACATGAGTAGATTTGTTCTGGTAGAGTTATAACACGAAAAAAATCTGGCACAGTCTTTAAACTATAAAAATCCTGCAATTACAACCACTGCTGTGCATGCTCACCACGCTGGCTGGAGCCAGACACTTTCCCTCATAGCCCAGCTCAAGTCCATCTGGAGTTCATCAAGGAAACCGTGAGCCCAACAACTCACGTTAGGATTCAAACAAAACCTGTGTGCTTTTAGCACCCCAGACAGTCACAGATTTCCCACATGGTTTAAAAAACAACCAAGGAAAAGAGTCTTTCACCTGGGAGGTAGCCTGAGTCAACAGAAAGTCTCATTTGGACCCACTTAACTAAAGAGCATTGTGCCAGCGTAAAACTGCATCCCCTATTGTTTCAGGTCTTAAAAAGAAAGGGGGAAGCAATCTGGCATTAATATTTAACACAGGTGATTTTCTTTTTAATTAAGAATTTAAAAAAAAAACTAAAACTGAGCTCTCCATTTCGTTTTAAGGATTATTTCACAGGGCAATCCTGTGAGAGAAATGAGATAGAGTGCCTAACTTTTTTTCAACTAGTAAGGGGATAAGATTCCTCCTACAAAAGACCTGTAAAAAATAAGAAACTGCCTTCAGAGACCAGTGCACATGCTGGGGACCCCTCATTTCTGATCCAGAAGCAGGAGCTGGCAACTTTGAATATTTCAGTTATTGCAACACACTTCCATTCCTGAGTTTTGTGTACTATTAAAACTACATTATATGTAAGAGGAAAAAAAAAAAGCCCCTTAAATGACATTTACTGCCAAATACTTACAGCTATGAAAGTTTTAGTGTACCTAAATTTAGATTTAATACAGTTTACATTTGAGAAATGATTACTTTCCAGTTAAGGGATGTCACATTTTCCTAAATCTTCCTTATATTGTTTTTATGGCTAGACCATTAAAAACAGATTCAAGTTGTACAATGTCGATGTTTTCTTAAACCCAGATCATAAAACATTCAATAAGAAAGGAGATTATTCATGTTTAGAGTTCCATTAATGAACATCTTCCCCACAAAACTTTTACAAAAGCTTTTTGTAGTGGGGTTAATGAATGGGAAAGGTAGTAAGACACAGAAGTGTGAACTATGTACCCAGAGCTCAGCTGGCCAAAACTTGAAAATCAAACTCTTTCTACGTGGTTAGACAGACTTCTCTCTTCCTGCATATTAGCAAATGAATAAATATATATGAAAATAATCAATTTGCAACATTTGGTTCAAGCTATCATTTTCTTCCTTTTAGCATTTGGAAATCTGACTTCCAAGTCAAATTTTAAATGCAAATCCAGCACAGCTTCTTAATCAATCCCACTGGGGCCTGCAGAGCTGCTAATTCAGCAGAAATCTGGAAAGCTGAAAAACAAAAAGCCAGGCTATAGCTGTTTTAAGACACTGATCCAAAGTGACTCATAAATCAGCCTGTTATATTCAAGTTTTAGTCTGGAAAATATAGAAAAACAGCTGTGAAAACCATAAGGACTATTACCCCCACCCCACCCCCAATTCTGGTACGGACCAGAAGATTTATAACAGGTCAACACTAAAGAAGTCACACCAGCAGAAACTACCTTTGGGACTTTCGCCTGGGTCCTGTTGAGAACTCAAACATTTCTACATAAGACAAATAATTCTGAAATGCCAGTGAGAATTTAATAATACTGGAAGTTCTCATTGGCAATTTAGCAACTTTTCCGTCTCTGGGCTAAATAACATTCTAACAAGCATTCCTCTTTAGGTTGAGAACTGTTTAAGCACAAATTCTAGACAAACTCTAGCTTGCCTTTAATGGCAGTTGTGAGCAAGGCTTCACATGGTTACTGGGTTGTTTTTTTTAGACAAAGGCTCGCTCACATAGTTACTCTTTTAAAAGCCACTTTCATTAAAGTACTAGAGGTTATTTTCTAAAAGGAGTACTGATACAGTATCATTATTTTACAGCTCAAACTATTCAACTTTTCACCTATGGGCCTCCTATAGTAATAAATCACAACCAAATAAAGTGGAAAAAATACATACACACGTAGAGATTTTTCTTAAACTTGCAAATTCAACAAAACGAAAGACAGTTACTGAACTTTTTCTGAAAAGTGCTTTCATAAGCCAGTCCAAAGACAAACTTCTACTATTTTGATTACCTGAGGAAAGAGAAGGTAAGATACGTGGGAAAAAAACATGCATTTTTCTATTTATATCTGAACTCGGAAATCATCTCGTTAGGATGATTTTTCTAATTAAGAAAAACTTTAGTAGCCTTTTGAACCTCCTATTCTAAAATACCAAATAACAGAGAAAGTAAAACTCAATTCCACGTGTTTTTCTGCCTCTTTCAAAAGTGGAGAGAGGAGACCTCTAGAGTTTTAGGTACAAACAAAAAAAATATTTACAATAAAGAATTCAGACCACATGGTTTGGTGACACCTACAAAGATGGTTAAAAGTCACAGAAGTACAAGAATGACAGAGCTGTCCAATGAGTGATCACAGTGGGGTTCCTGACAACAGACTGAGAGCTTATTTATACAAGTGGAACTTATTTTCACATACATTTAAGGAATGTGGACTAGTATTGAGACAATTTACTGCTGGCGGAAATGTAATTAAAGACTGTGCTAACCAAATAAACTCTAATTTGTTTTTAGTGTGCCACCAAATTATCTGCAAAACAAAATCCTAATTAGGTCAGCTACTTTTAAGACAATGTTTAAATAGGTATCGAACCCCTTTTGGTTCAACTCAACTACTAATCAAGGGCAACACAGATTTTCTTTTTTCTAAACATCTAAATCCACGAAAGAAAAAGTACTGCACACTAGCAAGATCACAATAGACAACTTGACATTGAAAAACTATCGAATACAAGTTAGATGCCGTGAATAATCTAAGCATTTCTAAATACACTCCAGGAAGCACTGTATTCATTTTCTCTTTCTCATCACTCTATTATTCCTAAGTGTTCACCTCCAGTTATTTACATGTTCAGTTCCATATGTTGTCAATAGAGCCATTCACATTTCATGAATAAGGCAGCATGACCTCCACAAGAGGCAATTGAACAGAATTAGCCACAACTAATTGAAAGTCTCCCTGCTTTCCGTTAAAGCCCTTATCTCCTCTTGCAATTGTAATAAAAACTACTAAATAAAACGTCCCATGATAAGAAATTAAATATCAATCCAATACTCTCTAATTCTACTTTATTAAACTAAGGCTTATTAAAAACACAAGGAGTATACTTTCTGATGGCCAACAATTCTACATTCACAGAAGTTATTTAGATTAGCACAATAATTTTAAAATATAAATTCTTAAACATCTGACCAAACCTCCTACCACGATTAGGGCATTGGAATAGTTCACTAGATTTGTTTTAAGAACTTAAAATTTTCATTGCAATTCTGCTAAGTAAAAATTTAAGATTACGTATGAACTGCACTTTATTTTAAACAGAACAACTACTTCAAAAAATACAAGTTTTGATTGTATACTTTCTACAGTACTCTTCCAATTTTAAAACTGGGACTGAGGAAGAATAGAAAGACAGATGACATTTGGAAAAGATCAGCATTTCCAACTAAATTACATTTTCTTTCTTGTTCTTCACGCAGTTGGCAGTGATTTCAGGTTTTCAGACTTCACAGCTAAAATCCAAACACTTGCATAAGAGCACCCTGCGCTCTCCCCTAAACCGTCTGGGCGTGCTGAGGAGCTACAGAAATCACGCCCTTGATTCTGAATAATCGAGTTCCTTCCTTTCCACAGCTACTGACCAGTCTTTACAATCTGGTTGAGGAGTGGGAACTTACGGTCTGCTAATGTGAAAGCAAGCAGAGGGAGAACAAAAGTACGTCTACCATAACTTGGATAGTGACCGAATTCTGTTGAGGGGGCTTCCCAGATGAAAAGCCTGACTTCAGTTACTGGGTGGCAACAGGAAAAGGAGTCTGACGCAGCTAGAAACTAAAGCTGAACTAGACTCAGAACTCAGGGAGAACAGCAAACTCCTGATGTGCGCAGGTTGCCACTTATCTCGCCCAGGCCTGGCAGGAGCGCGCATTTGAATCCCTCGGCTAGCATAGGGCGCAGGACTTCATTCCAGGCCTATGGCGTAGTCACTGGCCCCCTCCCCTAGGCTACCTGCAGCCAGTTAGGACGCGCCAAAAGCCCACCTGCGCCGCCCGCAAGGCACGTGGGAGGGAAACTGAGGCCCAGACAGTTCTTTTTCCACGTCCACGGAGCGCCGATCGCGGCCTGGGCCAGAAGGAGCTATCCGGCAAAAAAGGCAATGCACGCCAAACCCCAAGCAACCAGGCCCTCGCCCGCTCCTGTTTTCCCGAAACCCCAGAGGCCCGGCCTCCCTCACCACCGGGGAAGAACACTTACAGCCGAGCGACCCAGGGCGGGAGCGGCTCGGGAAGACGCGCTAGCCGCTGGCGACTGCAGTCCAGCAGGTCCCCGAGGCAGCGGCAGGTAGTGGGGCACTGGCGCTCGGCGGCTATCCCGGAGGGCTGCCCAAGTGCCCCGCGGCCGCCGCTATCGGACCGGCCCGCGCGCCCCAGTACCGCGCACAGCAGCAGCCCCAACGCCGCCGCGCGCGCACGGAGACTCGGCGCGCTCATCGCGGTCCAGCGGCCTCTGTCTCTGCCCGACGCTCCCAGCTGGCGCGCGCTCGGGGCCCGGCACAAACTTCCAGCCGAGGGTGCACGCCCGCCCTCCCGGCCGCGTGCGCGCTTGTTCCTCGCGCTTCCCGGTCAATTCCTTCTTTTACTCCCGGCGGCGAAGCCCTTTCATGCCCCCAAACAGCAGGAGGGAAACTGAAAAGAACTGCCAACTGCAACAGAGTTGCAGCTTGAGCAGCGTCGGCTCGCCGAAGCCCCTTCTTGTACGCAAAAAAAACTTTTTCGCCTCCACCCCGCGGCACTGCGCCAACTCCCCGCGCGACGGAGTAGCGAGGCGGGGCGGGGAGAGGCCGACGTGCGCCCATTGGCCGGCCAGGCTGCGGGCGTCCCCGCGGCCACGTGACAATAACACCGCTCCAGCCGGGGGCCTACGCGCGGGAGAAAGTGGAGCTGAGATTGTAGGAAATTCAGAGTTATATTTTCCAGCCTCTCCAGCCAGAAGTCTCCACTGCGTCGTGGGAAACATATATCCAATGGAGTCGAAAGGCAAAAGGGAGTGAGCAAATACTAGGCTAGTTCTCGGAGTTGGAGGTATTTAAGAGAACTTCAGGGAAGTAAAGTTTAATTAGCAGTGTTTTCAGGAAAACTTTCAATTCCAAATTAAAGACACTGATAAATTATTCTACCATCCACAGATAAAACAGTGGTTTCAATGAAAACAGCTCTTTTAACGTTAATGCTGGTGGGTTTCCCCCCATACATCGGTTTCAAAAGTAAAAACAATAATAAAACGTAAAACTCGTGGTTTTGTAAAGTGTATATTGAGTTACAAATAGCCAGCCTTCGTGCACTGGATAAAGCTGGGCGGAGTGGGGGATGGGGAATGACCTTCTAGTAGACCTCGATGGCAATCACGGATTCCTGGTAATAGTAATAATGAAAGTAGTGACAGTGACGTTTCAAAATAAAATGAAAACTAAGACCTTGGAGGAAAATATTAGTATATGCACCTTGGGCCACTTGCGCTTTGAGTAATGACACATGTTGATTGAGAATGCTACCAGGGTAAAAGTGCTTCCCGGCCCCCTCAGTTGGGGGAGTGGATGTTTGGGGCTGGATTCAGGCTACAGGACTTCACAGTGAAGTTTGTTCCTTAACTTACAAGTGATCAGAGCCACAGGATGTTGAAACTAATGGAGACCACAGAGATCATGTGCTAAGGGGCCTTCCTCCTCCGGGTAAGGAAATCGACCTAGAGAAGGTAACTAATGTGTTTGTTGCGGAAAAAAAAAAAAAAAGAAAAGAAAAGAAAAGAAAAAGAAAAGCAAAACAAAAAACATGAACAAAGCAAAAAACAAATCCTGGAAGCTTAAAGTAAGTTTTCACTTCTGTACATTGTTTATTGCATGCTGTTTGCCCAAGCTTCTCTGTCCTTGGAGTTACGTAAACTGCCCATGATTGAGGAGTGGAGATAGCTTGTGGAGTTGAGACTTTAACCCTGACTCTAATGCCCATTGATTTTTCACTGTAGCAAATCACTCCCATTTACAGGGGAAAGGAAAAGACTCACTTTGAAGTTAACACACCCTAATTTAGATACGGTATCCCATTTTCTTATTTCCAGCTACCATTAACAACAACCTCACTACCTTTTTGGATGATGTATAATTATAATTAGAAAATATCTATAATGATAGCACCTTGGTTTTGAATTTATGATTTTGTCTGCTTGAGAGTGGACAAGACACACTACAGTCATGGTAAGGATTTTCCAGCTCAGTATCCCCCATCTATGTTTATTTTTATTTTTATTTTGAGATGGAGTCTCCGTCTGTGACCCAGGCTGGGGTGGAGCACAGTGACGCGATGTCGGCTCACTGCAACCTCTACCCCCTGGGTTCAAGAAATTATCCTGCTTCAACCTCCCAAGTAGCCGGGATTACAAGTGCCGGCCACCACACTCGGCTAATTTTTTTGTATTTTTAGTGGAGACAGGGTTTCACCATGTTGGCCAAGCTGGTCTTGAACTCCTGACCTCAGGCAATCCACCCACTTTGGCCTCCCAAAGTGCTGGGATTACAGGCGTGAGCCACCACACCCGGCCCACCATCTATTTCATACAAGGAAAATTAGGTCTAGTTCACTGAAGTTTTTTAGAAGAAGAAAGATTCCATTATACACATGCCATTATGCCTAAGCATGGTGGCATCAGTATGGAGGCTTGCTCTTGAAACATGAGACATATGACAGGAATATAAATAAATGTGCTACCATTTTGGGGAGTTTTGGCTCATTTCCTTTTTTTATTCTTTATTCTCCTTGTATAATTTCATCTTCTTCCATGAATTCCATTTACATTTACAGGCTGACATATACAACATCCATATTTCCAGTCCGGTTCTTTTTCCTAAACTCGAAATCCCATATGCACAATTACCCGCAGGTCATTAAAAATTGGATGCTCAAATGTAACATATCTAGAATTAAATGTCACCACCCTTGAAACTGACTTGTTTCCTCCTGAATTCACTGTCTTAAAAAATGGATACTTTCCTCCATCCAAATGAATGCCCCAGAAACCTGAAAGTCACCTTAACATTACTTCATTCTCACCACCACCACCACCACCACCACATTCAATCAATTAACAAGTCCTGTTAAAGCTAGCTCCTAAATGTATCTTCTCTCTGTAGAAATTATGCAAATCCAGACCACCAGCTGCTCTTTCCACCTATCTGGCATTCTACTCCTTTCTCCACAGTGCAGTCAGGTGGTATCTCTGAAGGTCAAATCTGAGCCTGTGACTCAACTAACCAGTTCTTTTCATGAGTTCCTAGTGTCTTGAGAATAAAGTTCAAATTCTTTAGAGTGACTTTGACAGTTTTGTTTGTTTGTTTGGCGTTGAGCCTCTACTTACCTCTTTAGTTCATTGTCTTTCCTCATTTTTCTCCTACTCTAGGAGCTACTTGCAATTCTCTTCCCAGCTGTGCTGTTGCCTTCAGCCCTCTTGCAAATGGTTCTTCTGTCCAAATCATTCTCTGCTCCTTCTTCTGCCCTGTTGATGGCATTCCTCCTTTGGCAAACACTTCCCTGAGTCAAGTTTACCTATCTGTACCTCCAGTGTACTCCCAGCACATCAATATTGACTGGAGTGTACTAGACCATTTTCACTCTAACCCCTAGGTAATACTATAGAATTTTCCCATAAATGTGTATTCCTTATCGCCTTTAAGGCTTTTACTGGCTATGGTGAAGTTAAATTACATAAGTTTTCAGTACCCCAGTTTCTCAGTCTGTAAATTAGGAATACAATAAAAAACTCTCTTACCTGGTCGGCTTCCATTTATGAGTTACTTCCTTAGCAGTCACTCTGTTCTGTCTGTACAACCCACTGACTGATGCCTATGACCAGCTGAAATCTAGAAACTACCAGCCTTTTCCTAGAACAGCTTTTGCATATTTGCTCCTACCTGTCAGGTGCTGATCCACAGTAGTTACAGACTTGTTAATATTTATTATTAATGTCACACAATATTGTGTAAACCAAATAAATACAAGTACAACAAGAAAATACCTTTATTTCTATGATAATGAATTTGAAGGTTGGGAAAGATTCTTTAATGGTGATCGCTAAAATAGTGCTATCCAATTAGACGAAGATAAGACAATTGTAAATGTGGGAAGAGGAGATTACACATATCTAGGAGATTTCTTTGGAAAGGTTACTTTGCTAGTAAGATCTTATTCCACTTTAAGTGTATTTGGGAATCAGTCAACAGAGGATCTTTTATGGGTGTCGCTTAAGCTTACTCAGAACTTTATGTGATCGTTGAGACAGTAAAAGAGGATGACATGGAAAGAATGCAGCGCACATTAAAAATCACTGTTCTCCATTTCAATATGTGCTTAACCATGTGGTCAATACAAAGGGAAACTAGTCCTACATGAAAACTTTATTTTATTTTTTAATTTTTATTTTTTTGAGGTGGGATCTCACTCCATCACCCAGGCTGAAATGCAGTGGCGGGATCTTGGCTCACTGTAGCCTCAACTTTCTGGGCTCAGGTGATTCTCCCACTTTAGCCTCCTGAATAGCTGGGACCACAGGCGCATGCCACTATACCCGGTTAATTTTTGTATTTATGTGTGTGTGTGTGTGTGTGTGTGTATATATATATATAGATAGATAGATGGCGTTTAACAGTGTTGTCCAGTCTGGTCTCGAACTTCTGGGCTCAAGAAATTCACCCACCCGTTTCGGCATCCCGAAGACAGGCATGAGCCACCTGCCTGTCTGAAACTTTACATCAGTGTAATAGTTTCACAGGCTTCTCAAACCTTTCATGAACCACAGGGCAGAGAGAACTTCCACTGGGTATCTGGGCAGATGAGAGCTAATATCTTTTGAGGCCCCTCATAGCACTGTTCTGATTCCTCCATAGTAGATAGAAAATAGGCATGAAGGCAGAGTGACAGCAAAGATAGTTGTAATAGAGAAAGAAGAGGCACATAAAATTCTGTTTAATCTCCCAAAATTTATCAATGAATAACAGTGACCCAGAAACAATGTATCACTGAATTCTCTGATACGCTTATGATGTCATTTATTTTCTTGTATACACACTCACACACACACACACACACACACAGAGGACACAGTGGTATCAAATGTTGAATCTCAGTTTTTGTGGCTAATGTCTTACGAATAGGAATTTAGTATGAGAAAGTCAAATTCATTTTGACCAGAGGTCTTTTAACATTTGAAATAAAATGAGATAAGATGTTGGATTTCTCTACTCCTTCAGAGGTTTACACCGCTTAACCAGGTACTCGGAAGTTGACTTTCCATTGGAAATTGCTGAGATCACACCAGACAGTTTCTCATTTCCAACAGTGTCCCAGTGAATGGTAAGTTTCATCCATTTTCTAAAGGGTCTCCTACCGCCCATTTTGTGGTTAGCATAACCCAACCCCAGTGCTCTTTTTCGTTTTCCTGGTCTTTTTTCTTTCTCTGGCAAGTGTGAGACTTTCTTATCTTGAGTGCTGGCAAGGCCAGTGACTCACTGATAAAAAGTAATAGAGGTGCTAAGCTGTCAGTTTTAACATCCAAGGACAAGAATGAAAGCTAAACACTCAGTACTTGCTTTATCATTACAATGAATGACACAGTTTGTGTAAGTGTGAGCTGTGAAAAGGGAAAAGAGATAAGGCAAAGGAGGAAGAAAAGGACAAAAATCCCCAGATAATGATGCCAAAAGCAAATGTTGCTGTACTTTGTAACTTA